TTTAATATGAACTTTATACCATAGCAATAAAGCTCAAATTGACTACGTTTTAGTTACAAATCATTTGTATGGGGAAAAAGAAAAGGGCTATTTTTAGGGTTTTTCCAGCAATAATTCTAATTTTTCTCGCCGTAAAAACCATCCTTGAACTTCAACGAACATTTTAAAAAAAGATTTGGCCAAATTGGTCGAGGCGTTGTTGAGTTATGCGCTTACCAACACATTTTGCGATTCATTTTTATATATAAGAAGATTGGTGTATCTACATCATGATCAAAATTCTATCTCGCCACCGTACATTTGAACATTTACTTTAAAATTTGGATTCATTCATGAACTACTATGAAGTTTCTTGGCTTGGATTTCTTTGGTGTTTTTTCGGAAAGGATCTTGAAATAAGAACTTACTGGAAATATCCTATTTTCTAAAAGAAAAAATCGACAGTATCATATAGGTAGTATTCCTGAAATTGGACAATGTAAAGGTTGCTTTCCCGTATCGATAAAGCAATGGATTCTTTGGTAATGGTCTCTGAAATGTAATAAATATTACAAAACCAACGAATTGTGTTTTACTTAATTTGTTCTTTCTCCTTATGTTAGTATAAAATGGTGATTTGGATGAATAATTTTTAAAGTACACCAAGTATATTAAGTGACCTTAATTTAAAGTAGTGAACGCGTATAAAGCCCATTAGACTGGGGCTCTGGGTTGTCAGTAGGACGAGGCATATTGGTAGTGGAACTGGCTGACTTGTATTAGAAAAAAGGTAGAAGGAAAGCTTTTGCTCCTATTTTTACAAGCTTTTATTTAACTTGCCTTTTTTGTATGTTAGTATCATGTTAGTGCGCAAATCTTGTAACTCAAGTTTGGACCACTTCCAGTGTCCTATATAGACTTGAAATTTTGCATAGACATGTAAGTCAGATGACAATGCAATATTATGGTAGCAGTAAGCTGATATAGAGTGATGGAGTCGGAAGGTGAAGGTGACTTAGTGATGAAAGGATGCAATTGCATCGTTTTTATGAGAACAACAACATATTGAGACTAAAGTAAAAAAAAAAAATTATAAACAAGCTTTTATTTGTGCGTAGAAAGACGTAAATAAATAAATTTTAAATACGTATAATCAAAATTTTCTCTAACAGTCATTGACTTGAAAAGCTTGTAGCGCGTACAAAACATGTGCATTTCCTTGGTCTCCGATTTCATTAGCGCAACAAGCTAATGAAATGAATTTTGTATTCGATCAATAGTCGTCTGTTTTTATGTCCACTTTAATTTTACAACTGCTTACTAAAAAGAATTATTATTATACTTATACACGACAGAAAATTTTGTTGTTCATAAACATAAGTTGAAGTATATGATCATGTGATGTCATAGCCAATATTAAGGGTGGATCGAGCGAATGAAACGAATTCCTCGTCAGCGAGTTCCACTAACACCGCGCCACCCACACCTTATGCCAGGCTCGTTAACCGTGAGCACAACTGGCTAGGATGTCGCTTCTTGTTATACCATATACGTAGTACTTATATATTTTCCTTTGGTACCGATATATTTTTGACTAAACTTATTATAACGGCCTGGTGTAGTAACCAAAGGTTGTACTTGGAGCTGTTACAACACTGGTGGTAATCAGGAAGTAGAGTTTTATTTTCTATCCATATATTTTTTGTATAACCGTAAAAAACCATGCTACATGTACTAAATTCAAGAGAATTATCGAAAAATTAATGACAATATTATATAGCAATTCCTATTATTGGTAATAAGCGAACAACTTTATTAAGGCTTCCGAATAAGGTCAATTTCATTATATCTCCAGCGTGGAAATAGGTCCTAGTAGGCGAACAGAGGTAGCAAAGTTGCTGACAAATGGCGCACTCTCGAGAGACGTTGGTAGGTGTGTGTCGGAAAATGTAACGCAATTTATCAGACAGTTTGAGAGCAGGTGTCTTTGAGGCGAGAGGTAATGGATACTACGCAACCGTTCCTCTTAATCCTTGGGGAAAATTTGAAACCTTTCCTTCATATTACAATCCATATATGCGTCGCAAGCATTACCTGTAATTGTTTCTTATACAAATAGCGCCATTACAAACCCTTATTAATCAAAAAGGGCAAGAACAGCAATTGTCTTCATTTTACTCAAAACTCAAAGTCGTTTGGATAGAATAGGTACCGTATACAACGTGAAGCGCAAAATGGCAATAAATAATTCTACTTTGTCCACACTTGTGGAGTTGCTAATCAAAATAATAACAATGACTTCGACTTATAAGGGGATAAATACATATAACCTAAGATAATATAATTTTTGCAAGAAACTGATCAAAATGTATTTAAGAGTCACTCTTAAGTTACGTCGGTAAGTATTGGCCTCATGAGTATGATAAAAGCGTCATGAATTTGACTGCGACAGTTACCAATCAGTGAGCGTTTTAGTAAACAGACGACACCGTTTTGTATAATGAAGTAACGAAAATGAGGTTGACGATATTATAATGGGTATTCCTATTCCATAGGTTTTTAGAATAACATTTCGTATATTTTAATTCATTCTAAATTTGAATTCAAAACCCTAATTAATGTGGTAATATATTGCCATTATATTATTTTGAAGAAGGAGATGTGTTAACTCCTACCATTGCAGGATAGGCAAAGACAAATAGAATACCACAAAATACGGATTTAGAGTTGCTGACCCTGTTTTCCTAGGACATTTTTGTTAAGAACGCTAGCATGTCCTGGATAGTTTAAAGCAGCGTTTTTTAAGGTCTGATTAAGTCTCGCTTTTGGAATTCTTATGTTACAGCCACGTTACAACTCACTAGTGTGCACTGCGCGGCGGGATTGATTTTTTTTTATTGTTGAAACTAAATTAATTACAATAGTATTGCGTCCTGTTTATAAACTAAATTGTGCTTGCTTTTCTAACTTAAAGTACTTTTTTTTCGAAAGTTGGGGAGGCCAACCCGACTTTATTAGCTTCTTTCGCTTCTTTGTTGTTTCTAGTGTCATAAACATTCGCCGATTATATTTTATTGGTGATTTTAGAAGCAGTAAAACTTATAGCATTTTATGCTTTGCCGAAAACCCATTCCTTCAGCGAATACACCGTAATTACTTTTGCCTTTTATTAGCGGGATTTTTTAAGACGATATGATCTTCAACCTAGTGGAAGGTTGCGTACTAGAAACAAAGGGTCTTCGGCCTCGTGTGCTTTTTGTCGCTCGATTCTCGACTCAATGCTTGTAAGTCAGTGTGCCAGAGAGCGCGCTGACGTAACGCTGCGGTTACTACCGACTCTGAGGAAGTACCTTGGAGTGAATATCTATTGCTTGAATGATGTAACGCCATCTAGTAGCTGTTTTTGATGGCAGATCTATAGTGAATATTTATTTGTCTATATATATTTTTTTACGCATTTCAAAGTCAATATTATTTAATATGCGGGTTGTAATTGTGACGTACGTTATAAGATATTAATTAAGTAAATTAAAATCAAATTGTAGTTTTTTTTACATTTTCATTGCTTAATTGGTTCCTGTATTGTTTGATTCTTACAAAGCGCGTTGCAAAACGATACGCGTTTTAAGTTTAAGGTTATCCTTTCTATGTGATTCCATACCATTTTTTTAATAACGAAGGGAAATGCTTAATGCCTGTCCCCGCTGTTTGACAGGCGAAAGGGACACACGGACCCGCCCAAAGGCTAGTCCAAACGCTGATAGCATACCCACTAAACGCCCTCAGTGCTCCCTCTCTCATTTGGTGGAAAATGGGATGCAGTAGGAAGTGCTACTCAAGTCCTCACCCAGCCCTCGATGTCATTTCATCCTTAAGGGAAGCTATCATCATAGGAGATTAATATCTGATAACGAAAAAAATTTTGAGCTTCGTAGCATATCCGATTTTATCTCAGTTTATAGTGTTAAATAACAAAATTAGCGTATGAAATCAGACCCTGCCAGTAGGAAAGTTTGCGGCAAAGGGTGCCGGCCGGTTCACTATCGCAACGTTGAAAGCGCATCGGTGAAAGCTGTCGGTGAACTTGGTTATTTCGACTGTTTCCGACTATACCTGACTCATATCAGTCGTTCCTGGTCACAGTCGTGATAATGGTAACGCTACGTGCTTCGCTGCACGTAACCAGTTAGGGTAACCATAATATCCAGATGTGTACGTACAGTAGGCCGATTCTCCTAATGTTTACATAATAATTGCATCTTAATAGAATCCAACTACTTGCATTTTCCCATTATACTATCTACCTGGATTCCGATGTCTGAACTTGTGATGTGAATTTTTGTTTGTGTAGAGCTGCACTGCGATTCTGTAAAAATCTAAACCAGAATTCGAATTCACTCAGGTTCTTTTCGAATTCCGAATCTCAACCTTAAATTGGTAATAACGTTTCGTGGCATAAGTGAAGTGTGTTTCGAAATGACAAATGACATATCTGAGACGCGTATATTCAATCGATTTTGTTTCGTTATTTTATACAAAAAATTGAATCAATAGAATTCTTCACTAAATAACGTGAATTCGGACACATAAGTGAATTTGAATTCGGGTTTGGATTTTTACAGAATCACAGGGCATATCTACAATTCTGACGATGACCGAACGTGTTCGGTGCTCGAATTTATATTTGTTCTTATGAAGTCAATCAACATCCCCATTCATCTCGTCATCGTTGTGGTCGATGCGTCAAAACATTATTTAAGTTGTTACACCCACGCATAACTTGTCGACGGACGTATATAGGGTATAACAAAGTGTCGACTGTGTTTATCAGGGAAGGGAAGGGCCGGCTATCGGGCAGAGAACGATTGTCTGATAAAAACACAGGAAACTGACACATTTACATAAATCCGAATGTTTAGCGTTAATTTATTGAGGAACGTTCCTCAACGATTTGCTGCAGTTCTCAGATGCATTGATCGTACAACTAAAATGTTTATTAAATCAGGTTTATTTGTTATTAGTGATGGCAGCAGCGCTGGTAGCCCCAAGGAGGCGTGCGTGGCGCAGTCCCCGCCGCCACCGCCGCCCGCGAAGAGAGACGTACGCCACCACAGACACGAACAGAGGAGGCTCAGCATCGGTATGTACAAACAATGGAACTAGTAGCAATCAACTGGGTATACTCACAGAATAATACAGTAGCGAAACTTAAGCCATAATAACTACGCTACATTGGACTGTTAGAGTTGCCTTGTTATTAAAAGTAGTTAGTGATAAAACATTATTGAAATTTTTAAAGATTTTTATTGATCGTAATTACCTGTATATTGTACTATAAGTTGCATACTGAGAAGTATTTTTGTCTGTTACGATTCGTTTTGAATGCTTTATTATTTGACTATTCTGATAAAGATTTAATCAATTCGGTCAAATAACTTAGAATTTCAAAATAGCGGTAAATATTGTTTCTCTGATTGACATATTAATTTTTCGACATTCGGTTTTTGAGATTAAAACAACCGGAGAAAAAGTTTGTTCGGAAATATTTCCTAATTCAGATAGCTAAATATATGATTTAATTTGTTTTTTTTTTTTTAATAGAATAAGAATAGAATAGAAAATTGTTTATTTAGCATCAAATTACAGGTATATAACATTGATAATACAAAAATTCAAAATTAGGTACTAAAAAGGTCTCCGCTCAGCAATATGCCGCAGCGTTTAAGCTACGGCGCTGATTTTCAGCGGATACCTTAATTAAATAAATAAACAAACTAAAAAAATAAAATAAAATATGATAAGGAAGAGCACGTATAGCATCACATACAATTACATGCAATTTACAAGACACATATATAAAGTAATTGTCCAGTTTATAAACTTACAAGATTTACATTAATATACTTAATCAATTACAAATAGGCAAATATTTAAATTATGTTTACACATTTGACAACTATTGTAACAAAATAAACATTCTGACTACTATATTGTACAAATCTATAATTGATATCTATTATAACAATAAAATATAATTCCAACATTTCAATATGAGAAAGTAATTTAAAAAGCGAAAGGTTCATGTTTGAAGACTTCATATTTCAAACATCCGTTTACGACACAATATTTTCGTGTCATTTCCATTAAGATGGCTCACTCTTTGTACTCGTCTAGTAATCTTGCCGTGGCAAGCGCAACTGAGACCCCCTGAAAATCCACGTAAATGCGTGCGTCTGCGTCTGTGTGCATACGAATTCGACCGTTTGTTCTTAGTTGAGTTACTGTATTATTCTGTGGTAGTGGTTAATGAGATGTACGAAAAGTTGAAAGGATGGCAAGATCAGGAACACATTGCCCATGATCATCCTGTCCTCTATGTGTTTTTGAAGCCTGGATGCGAGAGAATGAAATTATTTGCTTTTACGATATATTCGATTGCGTTAATAATATTTTTTCTGTTACTCTGCATAACGTATATGCCATTTTATCAAGTTAATCCATATTCGATTGTGTGATCGTTAGAATATTATTTATATTATATATCTGTTCATCATTCACAACTTTCTTGTCCATTATCACCATGGTAGTTGGTTATATTATATCACAGTGTTCAAGGTCACGTCATTAATGGCGCTACGTTCAAATTCTGTCTCTTCATCATCTGATTTTTAATGACAATCATCAAGATCAACATATAATTTTTTTGAAAGCAATTTTTTATAGATTTTCACATACCTTCCATTTAGGGTGTTTTCACACACACTACACTCTTAAGATGTGCATATTTGATATGCGTAAACGGTTTTTATACATTCGCTTTGTTTTCACACAGCTTTTCATCTATGTAAATAAATATTGAGTATAATCAAAAATTTTATAGTAATCTGAGTGTACGGATGTATGCAGGCGGAGGCGCGGACGGTTCGCGACGCGCCGAGCGCCGCGCCGCCGGCACTTCCGATCGTAGAAGATCAGGTATAACAACTGGCTTAATATACTCCTACTTCAGCCTATAATACCCGCTTTTAGATGCAACTCTATTGTACGCTTTTTGCTTTTGAGCTTTTTTCGTCCAGGGTATTCTCGTTATGTCATTCGTCCATTTTATATTCAGTTTCTTCTCACTCGCACCGATGGTTGCGGAGTTCTATGCTGCAATGGTAACCGTTTGTGACGAGGGACCATTTTAAATCTTTGCCATATGATTTGATAGTCTTTAAGCTGTTTTGGCTTAATCGATAATGCTGTAAACTGAGTGCGTTCAAACGCGTTTTCTTCTTACTTTTTATTTTATTGCTCATCGGTTTCGTAGCACATTTGGTACGATTGTCTTTACAAGACAAGATAGAACAAAGTTCGGTCGTATCATGCTTTGTTTTCCATCTAATAAAATAATAAATAATAGTATTTAAGAGTCTTACGTAATCTTAATATATGCTGCCAACTGTTTAATTGTCTTTTAGGTATCGGCTACGTTCTATTTAAATTTATTATTTTGTAACTATTTTATGTTGACTCTTTTCTTCTGCTTTAGTCATTATATAATATAAGGCTTTATTATTATCATAATTAATTTCTTATAGTAAAATACCAAGATTTAATACAATACTATAAAGAAAGTAACCTACAAAATGTCTAGAAAGAAACGAATTAAAGAGATAATCGATTTTGCCGTATTTTCACATACCATTTACAGTTATTGGTTCTTGAGCTAATCTGTCTAGTGTTCCAGATTACTGATTAAAATTCTGAGTGAAACTATAATTCACTCGGAATTTTCCTCAAAAATCGAAGGTATCCTTTTGTAACCGTTTTTAATCTCTGATATTTTAGTATTACACGTTTTCGACTTGTTTCTTGTGTTGCTCCGTACCATATGACAGAGTCATCTTACTCATTTAAATTTTGGATGTCATCATTATATGTTTGGAGTTTTCTAAATTTCATATATTATAAAAAACATTCAAAAAGTGCACCAAAATTTCTCCATATCTGTTTCACACAATGTCTCAAGTTTGACATTGATTTTATTATCTTAATAAGCTCTAATCAGTTTTGGACTACAGTAGGCGAGATTTCTATGAGTTTTAATTTATGAAAATAAAATTATATTTAGACGGGTTCAAGAATGAGGTGTGATAGATTTGCGTGGCTAAGTGGAGACTTCGGCTCGCCCTGTGCTTACGCAACGGTTGTCGTGTCGAATGCTTTCATCGCGGCTAAGGGAAAGCGCGGGTGTGGTGAATGGACGAGGAGTATTATTCTAAAGTGCAGCAGAGACGAGCGTAGATAATCGCTAGAAGATTGCCAAAGTCATAAATTATTTTTGTAAGGCGGGTAGTTATGAGAAGATAAATCTTACCGTTCTAGTTGCTACCTATTTCGTACGGGATCTCTTATGTAAACAGCACGAAGATATGCATTAATAGACATTAATTAATTTTATACGCTCATATAGTTTATAACGTAGCGAAAGAAAGAGAAGAGAAACTGGTGTTAACAAATCGTCTATCGTCTAGCTAGATCCTAGACTCATTATAAAAGTTAATTTTTAACATTAAGTGTTCAGTCCCTCCTAAATGATAAGAAAAAGTGAAACAGACCAAGGATATTGTGGACGATAGATTTATGATAGATAATTTGCAGTCATAAGAGTATTTACAAACACGTAACTTTTTTATACACCATTACGTTATTTAATCTAATATGAAAGTATGCATCACCACTAGAGTGAACATTCTTTTTAAAGTAATAATTTTCATTTCTCATAACATTTTGCGGTTTCGTGTTACTTTGCCGGCCAGACTACGCCATATAAACTCTGAAAAATTGTTTTTGTACTTTTTAATTTCGTTTTGTATGTATATGTATGGCACGGCATTTGGGATGCGAGGTAATTTGTATGGTTGCGTATGGAATTCAAGGTTCGCACCAACTGTAATTTAGGTTGGTCAATTAAATTTTACTGAATAGGGCTTTTGTCTTATCTGATGGTTTGGATCATTTATTTGTAAGTGCCAATTTTAACAACATAATTATAAATGTATGTAATGATTCCACGATGGGTAAAGTTATTGTATCTAGTTAAACGTTTATTATATATTATAGATCATTAATATTATATTATTATAATAGATCATTTTGTCTGTTAGGCAGTGCAGATAATGTATTGGGTCTGTGGAGCCTTGAGAGTTACGGATAAAAATGTTTGATGACAGATTGTTTTTCTTTAATGTTACAGATATGCGCGTGAGTCCCGGCGCTGGCGCTGGTCCCTCCGCGGAACCTCCCCCACATGTGCTGCACCCCACACATCATCACCACCACATGGTGAGTATGAGTAGGTTTGAAATTATCCTTGAAAAGTAATTCAAGGATGTTGTTCCAATTTTGAGAATTATGATTGCGGATCATTTTGCGACGTAATACGTACAGTAAGATACAACGGATGTGGCTCTTTGATGTACCTGAGCAGATGAGGCGGGATATATCTACCTATCACTATGATTCAAATATCACGCCATCGAGCAATCCTGCGCCAGACCCCTGCTGATTGCCAGTGAGACGGACACCTAATAAGTTGTATTTTACACCTTAGGACCATCGGCCATCGTCGGAATTGGTAAGTCTGTTCCGCGGGAATCAAGATTCACCATGCGCTGCATTTTTTTTGGAACTTACTGTAAATTAATATCCGACTAACATGGCGATTAATAAATTTTCGTTTGCTCAAAGCAGACGTAACAATTTTGACGATGACCGAACCCTCTATTGAAATTCATATTCATAATGACTCTTGTTTGTTCAAGGTGTAAAACAACGAATGAGATGTCGTCATACTTGGCAGGGATTAGCCTTTCGAATCCCCGAGTGTGTTTCCTTAGCCTTCTGCGTAGGTAGCCTATTACTGTCCCCACTGTTGGGACTCAGGCCTTCCCTTTGGATGAAATCGAATCGAGTAGGGAGAATGCGCCATGACGCACCACGCAGGCGCAATGCGTATTGGTGGGTAGTAACGACAGCGGTAATACCTTAGCGATTGGGCTTCAGTAACACCTTTAGCAATTGGGCCTTCTTAAGCACAGAGGAGCTCGAGATAATAAATTATTGGTCACCCATCCTATGACAGGCCATTGTGAAATTTGCTTAAAAACCGTATCGCAGACCGAGCTCGTTAACCACTGCTCCACCGAGCTCAAACATCTTTGAGCTATATTTATAATATTTTTGAGCGTTGAGCTATATTATTTTTTCTGTAAGATTTACTTTACTGCAATCTGATCCGTTATGATAATGACTGGAGATTGAGGGGAAATGTCCTTAATTGATTGATTAATGATTACTAAAAACAAACACATAAAATAAAAAGAAATGAACATATATGCATAAGGCGGCTTTATTGCCAGAGTAGCAATTTTTACCTGGCAACCTTTGGCTAACAGAAACCATACCAACCAAGAACAAATATAGCGGGTTAGTGCATTAAATTAATAAATATATTACCGAGAAAAAGAGAGAAAAAAGGAACAGATTGACAGAGAGACAAAGTACTAAAATGAAGAAAGATCCATATCCCTTTCAAAACACTTGGTTCTTGGTTGTACCATTATAAATTATTTACAAGCTTTATTCTATTACTAATAACTATGTAGTAAAATAAAGTTTTATCATTATCTTTTTAGGACACCAACCCTTTGGAAGGTGTCCCTGTAGAGTCAATGGTGTCCGGAGGCGGCTCGTCAGACGGCGAGCTCTCGTCGAAGGCTGGCGACAGTCCTAGCAGGAAACGGCGACGTATCTCGAGACATCTGTCATCAGGTAATATCTTATGATTAGAACTTGCCAAAAATGTATCGAGATCAATCAATTTCAACAACATAATTATAAATGTATGTAATGAATCCACGACGGGTAGTCAGTATCTAGTTAAACGTTTCCAATATATTATATAGATCATTAATATTATTATAATAGATAATTTTGTCTGTTAGGCAGTGAAGATTATGTATTGGGATATACTACCACAACACGGTTAATCGAAATAAAGAAAAACATCTCTTTTAGGGCTTCATGTCTAATTTATTACTTATTATCTGTTCTACTGACACAAGGGTCCTAGATAACTTAGATAGAGGTATTTACCTTAGGTAATTAGGGGTAATAATCATGGAAACGTTAAGAACTACTGGTCTAGCGACTGAACTGAACACTAATGTCATTTACTTTGGCCAAGTGACATTCGTATCCAAATTTTTTTTAATTACCATGAATGGTTCTCTAATATGCCGGTTCCTATAATTTTTATAGTTCAATAAGAACTAAAAGTATAAGTTGTTATAGACAAAGTGATTATTCGGGAATTCTAAGTAATGCCCGAGCGGTATGAAAAGTGCGTAATATGTGATCAAAATTATCTTTGATGTGATCAAATCAAAACTATAGCAATAATGACATTTTTTGTTCTCATAATCGCGCCACGTGCATTTATTTTTATCATATTTCTCAAACACCACATTGCATTATATTGTAAAGGTTCAAGATAAAAAAAAATATTTTTTTCCCTGAAACAGCTTGTTTTTCATAATGCCCCAATTAATCACTTGGTCCATAACCGATTCAAGTCTACGTCGGTGCGATTTTTGAGATAAGAATGGATATTATCTTCTACTGTACCTACGCAGAAAGGTAAAATATATATGTATATTGCAATATTTCTATAAGTTCTACGATAATTACTTTTTATTGTTGTCGGTCATTTGTTATGTTTTCAAATAATAACCAAGAAACATATTTTTTATGTGTATGGGTTAACTACTAAACGATAAAGTCGAAATTAAAGTCACGACTTTAAGATCTCTACTTATACCTCTCCAAACGTTTATGAGAATGACTAATAAATAAATATGAGACGACATCACATATGTACATTTCTCAGATGCGGCTACTTCATATTGTTAAATATGTACTTAATTCCTTTGGCATTCCTATAATGATTTTATAAGAATGATCTTTGTATTTTATTTGAAATGTTTATTGTAAAAGACTTGCTGAGTGTAACTTTCTGAGTTATATGGCCAATAAATATTTTGATTTGATTTTTGATTTTGAACCACTCTACTATGGAGGTAGCCTTGTTCTATTTGTCATTCATATAGTCTTGTAGGCCGTCAATTATGTCGGATTGCTGTAAACCGCCTCCACATAATCGCCGATGATGGGTGTTCACAGGACTTCACCATTGTATATACGACATGATCGCCACTGTGTCGGTTTTTCGGACGATCATCAAAAGAAGTTGTGTATGTCAAATGATCAGAAATATTCTGGCTTTTACAGTGCAATAATAATAACATAAAAACTAATAAACATTAAATAAATATATAGCGACAGCTGTTACTGTTTCTACGTCCATATAGTTCTGATGACAATGAACAAATTAGGGATGGCCGATCGCGTGGACAACGGCACAATGATGGTGACAATCATGGTGGCACTCAGTGATCGCTCATCATGGGCGATAGTGGACAGGGCTCATTAGATTAAAACGGGAGTTTTTATGCTAGAGTACCAAAGTGCCTTGACCCTGACCTTGATCCGATTAAGCAATATTTTAAAACATCTTTCAACTTTTATCAACAATAAATAACAATCAACAACAACTTTTAATAATATCTACTAAATTAATAATTTATTACTCGTAATCGATACCGATGGCGCCATCTATAACTGTTTTTGTACATTGAAAATGTAAATGTACGTATAAATATTTTTAAAATAATTTTTACAGATTATTTTGATGGCTATCAAATTTTCTCCTTGTTGATGTATATGTTTGTAAACTTTGAATGTTATTCTACTTTGACTTATTTCTATTAGAAATTCCTAGTTAAATTAATTTGTGAATTCATGGATTTGTCCATTGCTCTGATTTCAGGTGAAAGCAACGTGTCAGCGACAGCGCCACCTGTCGAAAGACGGACGCCTCGGCATCATTACCAACCGCCGTGAGTATCTATCTATCTATAATTTTTGCCTTGCTAAAATTTGAAAACGATTTAGCAAATTTTGGTTTTAAAATGTTTGTCGTAGTCCGTGGAAAGTATAAAAGCGAAAAATTACTCACTCATCATGAAATCTCAGAAACTGCAAGTTTAAAAAAGTTTCGGCATAGGGTCTTTGCGAAATTCGAGGGGCTACTTTTGGGGTTGATAGTTGGTATAAAACCTCGTTATTACAAATGCTAGGACTCTCAAATTTGAATAAGGATTCGAAGATTAGGATGTAGGTGCTGCCTAAGACGATATTGTGGGACGAGATATGTTTCTCAGTGAGGAAACTAAGCATTTTCTATTGATTGAAATATAAAAATAATTTGCTTTAAACAACTTCATAACCATGCTAAACTACTTTTTCAGATACTCATTAATATTTTTTCAATAGGAGGACTTTATTCTTCTTTCGTAGTCGAGGATATTTTTTTTTAATTTCAATACATTTTTTTTCGAGATATAGGATTCAATTGTTGAATCGTCATGTTTGAAAGTTTTGTTCGTTTCGTATTAGTCGGCGGGGTCGTTACGTGAGCGGGGGTGGCGGCGCGGGGGGAGGAGGTGCTGGAGCATGGCATGAGCGGCTCCATCATCATCACCACCACGCACCTCTATTACTCGACATCAACCAGGTATACTTTATTATTTGTTTTATAAATTAAACCGAAAAGTATAATTTGCATATGGAACCGAACCTTTTCTGTTACACCATTATGTGAGCCAAAAGAATAGGACTTTTAAACGGCCATCTTGGTTTGCATTGCGCTTCAACTTTAGGATGTAATGTGTGTTGAAAATGGAACGATATAATTTATTTTTTATAAATTAGCGCATAATTATAGTATGATATAACGGATTATGGCGCACAGATATTTGTTACTATGGCGCCACACGACGCTTCGCCATTGTGCAAGTTAATTTTGCAATTCTAAAATATACTTACAATTCATTTGACAACAAAATACTACATATTTTTTGTTTATTTGCCCTTTTCATATTTTTTTTTGTTATAACAGTCGGCTAGTAAATACGCATTTGAAAGTGCGTTTAAAGGGGTAGCTTAAATCTGTATTACTGTAGTGGATATTGTGTGTACGGTAGATGTCGTTGCGCGGCGCGCGGCTGTCAGCTCTCGGCGGCGGCGTGTGGACTCACCCCCCTCACCCCGCGCACCCCGCACACGCCCCGCACCCCCATCGCCATCCCGACCATGCGCCGCGTACGCAGGTAAAATAATACCCTCCACTCGCACACGAGGGAATGTGTTCACTGACTTGACTCGAACGCGATCAACCGATTTATATACTATCAAAAAAGAAATTAAAAAAAATATTTACCTTAAGCGATACAGCTCAATACTGTTTGTTGGAGTCCTTTTTGGTAACATATCAATGCTTGTACCAGAGGACACCGCTATTCTATCAAATGATTTTTAATTAGATGGACTAAGTGACAGTTCAATTCATCTTTTTTTTTCTTTTAATATTACAAGCCTCTGTTTGAGTGTTAAAACATAGATCTATTAAATGGTTCATTCATCCGTTCTTGTGATATGACTCAGTTGAATTTTTTATTTATTTTAACGCAATTGAGAAATTAAGTTATTTAAATGTATCTTTGTAATAAAAATACAGTTCGGCCGAAGTTTGAATTTTAAAAAACTTACCTAAAATATTTCAAACACACAAACTTCCTTTTGCGTTGTTCTAACTATAACCAAGTTGTAATGGTTTAGAAGTTATGAACGAAATGTGATCGAATCATAATTCATAGATCACTCCACAGACAACAACACTTTTTTTTAGTTTTTTTAAAGTGTCAACCCGCTGACTGCCATTTTAGTTCATCTAATTAAAAATAAGAGTATAGTTATTCGATTAGGCACTGATTTTTCATCGTTCTTATTTTTCTTGTGTAAATCCGTGAATAATTCTGTAATCCGTATCTTTCGTTTTATAAAAAGCTTCATCGTGTTCATATGAATTTCGCACTGATAAATGTTCAAACATTTTATATTATTACGTTTGTTACTTCTAAAGACAGACAAAGACAAAATTTATCTTATGTATCAACGATAATAAATATTGGATTCGACCATTGTCTTTTAGCTAATTAGTTTGTAATTAATTCTATACTCATGGCTTTTTGGATCTTTAAAATATACCCCTAGTGAATTCAATCGTGCTCTGTGCTCTTTAGGTACGGTTTACATGTAAATTTTTCAAGTTTTAACTCGTTAGGTCTTTATATTATGTACGTATATTTTGTTAATTTTTTTTATATATTGTTATTTATAAAAAATGTAAGTGAATTGAACGCATTCCCGATATAATTTATTGAAATATTTAACTGAAGGACAAATTTATTTCAGATTTTAGTTTGTAACACGACTTCTATTGTACATCTTAAGATTACTTTGTCGATATACCCAGATAGGCTATATATAATATTGAATGCAATGTGTAGGTGATTTTTTTATGTATCAGGTTATAGAATCGAATTAAGACTTTACAAAATTATTATTTAAATGAATATACATTGAACAAGCTCACATTATATTGATAATTTTGTACATCATACACATTCAATGTCATCAAACAAAATACTAGACGAAAAACACTTAATTTATGACATTACATAGATGTATCGAAAGTTTTAATCGTATTCGACTCGCAAAAGATGAAAGCCCGAATAAGAAAATATTTTGTTACAACAAAACTTTTACCACCGGTCGATACATGAAAAATTAATCGATTAATTTGTTTATTGATATTATACATGAAACGATACGATGTAATTCACGCGTATGTATCGATAGTTGGTGAAATTTTCGTCTTAACTTCACTCGTATCGGGAAATCGTCGAATCAGAAAAGATTACCAATCTGGGCATAGCATATAATTAATGGAATTCAAAAGCAGCGTTGTCTAGTTTTTAAGTCAAGTTAAGTATTACGGATACGAGTCGTTCCGCAACACGAGCGGTACTGTCACGACACCGATTCTCTATTCGTTTCCTCGAAGATCATCTGTGATATATTTTACGAATGTAACGATGTTTCTAGTTTTTGTAAACTTCGATTTAAAATAATAACGAAGGTCCGTTGGCGTATTCAAGGTACTTGAGAAAAATCTCGGAATAATTTCCGTAGTTAAAAACTCCTAAGACATAGGCGGATTTGGTCGCCCTAGGCCATGTCTTACTAGCCGCTCATTTAGCTCTCACTACTCCATAAAAAATTACGTTTTCGACAACGTTTATTGAAATAGATGAATTATAGTGGATAAGTAAGTGAAGATACAATTACTAGTGCCCGGTATTTCATCAGTCAAACAATATTTTATGCCATTATTGACCGCCATAAGCCTTAAGAAATTCCGTCTCTGTCTTAAGTACTCCGATGTGAATTGAATGAATTTGAATTGAATTGAATCATTGATCTGGCCATCATTAATTCCGAAAATTTTTTATAATCGCATCTCAATCGAATCTCACCTATTGTCCTACCTACCTGAAGTCTAATATTATTAGTGCAATGTCTACCTCATAAATCGATAGTGGCAGATATATTTCTTAATTAATTAAATTTAACAGGAACTGTGTCATAAAGTATTGTAGTTGAAGCACCCTTGACTTTCCATAATGACTTCAATATTAAATGTTTTGTAATTCAATGCCGTGAAAGTATGATATCAAGCTACTTCCACACTCAGTCGGTATCCGTAAAACCTGCTGTGTACCGCCCGCACAAATTCACATGTACAAGCGGCAAAAAATCTTGGAAAATCACCATTCTATACGTCTTTTGTCTCCTCACATAGCATCGTCAGGAGTTGTTAAACTTTTCAGTGCCAACCGTGGCACTATAAGTCGCGATTTGTACCTGTGAATTTATATGTACATAAAATATATGATTACGTAACAGTCGCATCTCAATAGAATCTTAACTTACTTTAAGTAGATAGTACAAGGGTAACATGGAAGACATTGAGATTCTATTGATATGCAATTATTACGAAAACATTACCAGAATTGACCTGCAGAGCTTGCGAAAACTGGCTGAGTGTGAAAGTTACTAGATATCATAGTTTCACAATCATAGCAGTGGACTTCTGAAATATAATGCCCAACTCTATTAAATACGTTAACACTATTCAAAAATGAATACCCTGTTCATTTTTGAAAATTGCCTCAATTTAATCTTAATGTCCACTAAACCACTGAAAAATATACAATAAAAAATTCAGTCAGTTAGACAAAAATCGAGATTTACAGTATAAAGTTTTCAGACGACAAGTGTTTACTATTGGTACTTAATTTACCGCGATCTTACGTATTCATCTTGCTTGAGATTTATTTTTCTTGCTAGTTTACAAACCGAATGACGTCATATCATGGCGACTATCGATTCGCGCAATAAAAACACAGACTAAAGATTTGAAAACCGTGATTTGGATTTTAAAATTAATTTCTTTATATTATGAACTGAAATTAACGTTTTCAGGCTGCTTATTGCCTAAGCTATCTCAATTGTGTATTTTTAGTTTTTTTTCCTTTTGATGACTCGAATACCCTATTTACGTGCTAGTCGTTATATATGGGTGATCTATAATGGAAACGGATACGATAGTCGGTGTTGTGATAGCGGTATGTGTAGCGGAGTGGGGTGGGTTGGCGGCAGGTGGCGAGCGCTGGTGAGCTGTGGGGCGCTGCAGTGTTGCCGCCGCTGCACCACCTGCGGTACCAGGTATCATACACGCTACTCACTCTTCGGGTCTAACTTAGACGAAATAATCGCTGCCTGTTCCACGTTTTGCGGACGCGGTGTTCTCGTCTTTTGGGTCGGCACATTAGCTTTCTGCTCCCCGCGATAGGCCGACATTCACTACACTATATAAGTGTGTTTCCTCTTTGACATTCCTTTACCGTTCCCGTATTTGGTCTTCCTCGTAACCATCATACAGGAATCTCTTCTCGCAGCATGTTCATATTGCGATAGTCTGTTGCTTCTCATGTTTTCTGTTTCTGGTGTTCATTTAAATCTCTGGTTTACCTTTTTTTTCTTCACCATATCTGATTGTAGTGAGCGTTAGAAGTACGATAAAATCATCGGATTAAATGTCGTCGCTTAATACTGCCTTCAATTTGCTTGATTATAATTAAAAATAAGAGATTACCTTCCGTCTGCTGGCTGTGAACCATAATTTAAATAAATATTATTCTATATTGTAATGTAATACTCAAAATTTTGACACCAATCGTTATCGGGTGCTTAACCGTTTTAAAATCACTGTTAGATGAACGATTCAGGGACAAAGAATTTATATATCTATATCTTCACGCCTTATCCCTTGCGAGGTAGGCAGAGATGACCGAACGCCACAAAGTACGGTACTTCCATACATCTCTCGCTTTATCCACAGTCATTACTATTTTCATACACACTCGCCGGTTTTTATGACTTCTGACATCACATTCTTAAATTCATGATTTAGCATTATGATTTCCCTTTCAATCTGTTGGACAAAATCGGCTGCATAGTTATGGGGAATAAGACGAGAACACAGCGTGAACATAACATTCGAGTGTGGACAGTAGCGTGATGCGTCGTGACCGTGAGCCGCGGGAGGAACCGTGAGCGCACTCTTGTGATGTGGAAGTTTGGTTTCTTTTGGTCGACGCCTGTCTCATTGTATCTGGCCCTTAGTCGACGACCTGCGATATCCTAACAATACCTTTGAACTTATACAGATTAAAATTGATCAATTAGACCCCAAATAGGGATGACGACAAAATTTCTTTCCGTCAAGTAGATTGTTGAAAAATAATAAACACGCATTTTTTTTATTTTTCGTAATTATTAAATTACGGCGAAACATTAAGTTAAAACGTCACGTGACGTCACGCTTTTGTACATTTTAAACTATTACGTGTTAAATTTAAGTAAAAAAAAAATACATGTCTTATATTTATCTATTTTCTGCCTGACGGACTAAATAGAATTTGTTTTTTTTTTTGTACCTAGTCATCGTCCCTATTAACCCGATAAGGTAATGTTGGGACAGCGCATCCTGTTATGTGGTTCGGTTCTAGTTGTTACGGCTTCAGGTCTGGTGCGTTCACTCGCGTAGTTACACTATTACCCGTGGTCGTCTGTTCCAGATGCGATTGTTAATATTGCTGATTATATAAGTGCCGCTGTTTCTTTTTAGTGTTTACGATTTAAATTTATCGGTGTAAGGCGTTGGTGGTTACTGGTTTACGCGTTCTATGGGTTTTTAATAGTTCTAACGTTAACCTTTATACGATAAAAATTATACTAATAAAAGTGAACTAGTAATTTCACCGATGCTAATACAAAATCCGACGTGCCTTGAATTTTGTAGCACTTTACACATAATTATTAAACGATTCACGTTATCATATTTGAGAATACTACCCTGTTAATTTTCGAAATTAATGAAGAAAAATTTTTTTCTTTAAATATGTTTATAGATATAGTGGAGGTTTCAGAAAGGTTGGCATTTTGCTCCATTTTCTTAAAGATATGCGATGATTTTGATTTAATAGAAACGCTGGCCTTTCGAAAGTTGCAGGTTATATTCGATATGATAAGTTAGACTATCTGTTACTACAGCTTGTTCGACGGCTTCAATGTCAAGGCACTCGTGGATATTACCGAAGCTACCTTCACCCGCGCTTGAATTTTCCATTCCATAGTTCGGTGATCAGTGTTCCGGTAGCTGGGTGCCACACGTGATACTATATGTTAACTTAAGCACATATATATGCATGCCCAGATTATACGTTTTGTGAATTAAAACGGTTGAGGTTGAGGAAGTTAGATTTTAACTATGTGATAAATGTGGCTTGTACTATTGTTAAGCTTGCGGGCCGCCGTAGATGTAAAGCGGAGTTCACATGGGGTCAGCAACCGGCGTAAGTGTTGACGCCGATAACTGGCCAATTAACAGCGAGTCAGCATTGACTTGCTTCGATTTCGGAGTCTGTCACTGACCTAGTGTAAACTCAGCTTTACGATAGAGTTCTACGCTCGTTTCCCTTGAAAATATTGTATATTCTTATTTATATAATGTTTGTTACGGACGTTGTCTGATCTGATCACATTTTCATAATTTACAAATAGTTTTATCTAAATAGAATCGAGATTATCTTTTCATGGCTCTAACCTCTTTTATTTTATATTCTTTGTTTATCTGCATTTTGTTCCTGTCTTACCTTTCCCGATACTAATATAATCTATTTCTTAATTTCAAATCGTTTTCTTAACAGCATATGAGATATTCTTTTCTTGATCGCGTATTTGCTGTTTTCTATTTGCTTGCCGGGTTTAACTCAAGAACAGGTTGTAGTATGGTGCTTGAATCAATGCTAATTCACATATATGAATGCGACGTTCGATTTTGTTATTGTTAAAATAATTATAGAAAAATTCTCACAAAAGACATATCGGTATTCATTTTTCTGTTAATACACAAGCTTGATCATAATTTTGTTACATTATAATATGCTTTTTATAAGTTTAAAACTAATACTTGTCCGAAAAATTTATTAGAATCTAAGGAATTGGTCATGTGTGAGTATTGGCGTTAAATGCGATCAGACGGCGTCCGATTGGCGCCATCTTGGCGGAATCACTAATACTGTTACACCTGCCGCCTCGTCTACAGCTGTGACAGATCTCGCGTCTTCATTTACGACCTTAACACTCGCTAATAAGAATCACAGAATCGCTGCAAATAGTTTTTCCAGTTTTCATTTTCTATTCGGAGCGAATGCTTTTATGGTTAGTTTTACTTTCGGTAACTTGTATGATTTTTTTTCTTGAACCACAGATACTGTGGTTATATTGTTTTTTATTAGTGCTTCGAATTTCCAAAATTGTTCTAGTTTCCCTTGCTTGTATTAAATGTTAGTCTAAATTTTATAGTCAACTTAGTTTTTCCGATCTTAAAGATTTCTTCAAATAGCCGTTGTTGATAAAGATATGATCTGGTATACTTTCGTTTTTAAGAATTTCGCTTACTATTTCCACTACAATTTGACTCGCATTTTTAACTAAATTGCATGGTTTTTGATAATTGATATGTGTTTACTATAGTGCTAGTCGCCGCTGTTTTAAATATTTCCACTTTGAGATAAATACGGGTTGTAGTTGCAGAGACGCGAGATTCCACATCGGGTGAATGAAACACTTAAATGTTTGCACAATTATACCTTAATTTGTTCGATAAGACGTTAATTGTACATATACTATCTGTAGTCTTCACAGCGTAGACGTATCGCGGGTGGGTCCATTCTGATAGCAACTTATTACTCGGACACGTCCACTGCTGAGCACTGACTTGTTAGACCAGCTTGGTTCTGTGATAGCGGCTGCCCGTGCTCCAAGCTAATTTGTACCTTGTTTCCGTCATGCTTGGGTCGCGGTCTGCCTACGATGATGCTGCTAGACACAGTGTGACTAGCGAGGTGGCGGTAGGCTGCATAGATGATGTGTGCATCACGTTTATAATACTGTGAGATTAATGAATAATGTTCTTTCAATATCGAAATATATACGACCGCGCTCGCCGACATCTCGGCATCAACTAAACACATGTAAGCTACATTTGATCTAAAACATTATTTCTTAATCTTACTCAACCAAAGACATTAAATGTAATACAATAGACTCAGTCTGCACAGTGCTTGATGACATTAGGAAATAATATGTGTGTGTAACCACGCGCGCCGATGTTGATCAGTGGTCGTACGATCACGGGCTAGCACGGCTACACTTACCTATTTAATACCATTCAGTTGTTGATGTTCTATTCATTTCACACTTCTGGACAACATTTTTTTTAATAAAATAAGAGTTATTACACTATTTCAAAAACATTTGCTGTAGATACGACGCCATTGTGATTATCTCTTATAATAATTTCGTGATGGCGTCGATTCTCGGCTTGGCATGTAACACTCGAGCTCGTATCATTTGGTTCTGTACATACTGTACTGTATTACTTTAGCGCTACGATGACAGTAGCGCCGCGGGTTCCTTCCTGGCCGAGGATGCCCTACGCCGGTCAGCAGCGACCCTCCAAATATTTTTTTTTAGTTAACTAACCTCCCCACATTTGGAACTTTTCGTGTACCGCATGCTTCGATTTTCCTCACTCTTCGATACCCTGTGAATGTGTTCCGTGTTTTTTCGTGTATACTTTTGCCGTAGCGAAAATTGCCTAGTGTAGTACGCGGCTCGAATATGGCTACTAATGTGCTAAGGATAGAGGATCTCTGTGTAATATCGGACTAATTGACACGTGAAAGCTGTGAAATAAGTAAAACGATTCTCATTTTTCATACAAGTATTGACGTTCTTCGATCCTTATACTGTCGTTGTGTGTTTTATTTGTCATGATCTTACAAAAACATTTTACCTTTCGATTTTATATAGTGTCCATCTATTTACGCACACGTAGTCTGCCCGCGGTTGCCTACCGCACTGGTCGATTTTTCTCGCGATTGTCGCTACACTGTTTGTTTACGAGATTCGCTGCTAGCAACTTAATGCTTTGGTTACGTAGATTGTTTCAAACAAATAAGAAAATATTTGGCTGGTCGCTTCAATATTAGAACTTGGCTGTTTCTTAAAGTATGCTGTTTTATAAATGTCACCATGAATAACTAATATGTCGATATTACTATGTTCGAGTATTTCGGGTGCGGTATTAACACGGGCCGATCTTGCCGGACTAGCAGTAGTGAAGCACTAGGTTTTTTTCTCGTTCTACTCTCTATATGCCATGTCATACCACTATTTCATATTTATTACTATGTCGCATATAATTTAGATACTTTTATTTTTCATCAGCACTTTTAAGTTTCAATAATAAATGGAATTATTATCTCATAAGTATTATATTTATACGTCTTATGATTTTTATCCGTTTTACTATGTATTCAGGAGTGTTCGATTTTTTTGTAATTAAGTTTATACTTTTTAATTTCTATCAAATAACAGTTTTGGAGCATGTTATCCGCGTGTTCTTATTCTTATATACATAGAGGCTTGTTAAGTTGGCATCGATCGACATTTCCGATATCCACGTAATCAGTACCGCTTCACCATAGAACGAGTTAATAATCTTTGCTTTAACCCAACTCGAGCTATTTATGTTTCGGTATATGGTATGAGTGTCGTCCTTTGTTCGACGTCGGATGGACCACGGACCACGCCTCTAATATTGATGGATGTAAAAAACTTAAAACACTAATATTACTAAGTGGGGGTTTTAGGTATGTAGACGACATCGTTGTGTTGTCCGTGAATGTTGCATAACATTTTCTATGGTCCGTGTGAGCATTCTACGTTCGAAATTAGGAATGATACAATGATAAAAAAACCGCTGTAACTCCGATCGTAGGGGTTTAATACCTCCAGGTCATACATATTGTTCAAATAAAATATATTATTTAAAGAGCTACTGTTTGGTACACGTAAGTTAATGCTGAAATAAATGTCTTAGTGTTAAATTTATACTATGGTGGTTAGGAATAAATAACTTTAAATTGCTTGATAAATAATTAAATTTAATTATTATTTTCTTTGCTTATTTTGTTAGAGGATTTAATTTTTGAAATCAGTATTTGATTATGATGTTATTTCTCTTTGAAATAAATCGATAATCTTAATAGGTTTAGTTAAATTTATATTAAAAAAAAGTAAGCAAGTTTTATAAGGGTTTTTAATTCTACAAGAATGTTTCCTAAGGATAACATACATATATATTTCGAATTTTTCACCTTTTGCAGTAGTAATATTGATCAAGTTTCATTAGACAGGTGATTCTTATGAGAACCTAAAATGCTGTCATTATGAAAAAAAAAAATCAACCAGGATCAGCTTTCGTGTGTAAAACAATACCTACTTTTGTATACACCGGGAATATGGTGTCTTTTTTAATTTGTTTTGAACTTATTATATTTAAATATAGTATGTAAATAGTAATAACATGTCAATGTTGACGTTGACGTCGATATCGACTGCAACTTAAGTACTTAAACGGATAGTAGTGGGAACTTTTGCCCCTCGTTCGGAGTGCGGTCGGTAAACGGCTTATTACCGTTCTTTAGCAACCAGTCGTTTTTTCGATTGTCGCCTATTGGGATGTAGGCTGTATTTTTATTCTTTAACGTAAAGCCATACTTTCTATATCAGAAAAAGTAATCGATGGTTGTGTATATGATGGTTAATATCTGTCATAAAATATAATTTAATAATTTTTACCTTTGATAGTGCATGAAGCACTTGTTCAAAAGAGTCATCGAATAGATTAAAAAAAAAATATAATTAAATCTAAACTAATTAATTTGAGTTGTGTTTGGTAACATATGACGTTGGTAATAGGTGTTTATGTTACAAGTAATAGCGGTTTATATTATTTTATATAAACATTCGGGCCCTTAGTGCTCATTTTATAAGTTTTTTCCAAAAAGCAGTTTGCATCCCTATAATTGCCATATATATTATATATTAGAAACCAATATACGATTAACGCGATCGGTTGTCTAAAGTTCGGCGATGAGCGTAAGCGTATATATTTGGCGGGCGTTGACGGGGCAGTGTGTGGGCGCAGATGGGCGGTGTGTACGCGGGTTTGGGGTACGGCGGATTCGGGGCTGCGCACGCGCCTCGCGGACCGTTCGCGTCGCCGCCGCATCCGCACGCCCCGCATCCCCATCCGCATCCGCATGCCCACTATCTCGCCACCAACCAGGTGAGTATGACTATCGACTTATCTTACGTTTACGTTTGATTTCTTTTTATTTTAACTTTATATATATTAGTGATCCCTAGGGAACTGTTTAGCGGGATAAATATTAGTAAGATTATTTATTAAACAGTTTAAATAATTTTATAATTGATCATATCGTGGCACGGATATGATTACAATCAAAAATTGAATAGTAAACAGTTACTATGGTAACCATTTCAAATTAAAATTTCAACTTCCATTTTAATTCCCTTATTTGCGGTTTTTGGGAACAAAATATAGCCTATGTCCACAGCATATAATGTAGCTTCCCGTAGGTGAAAGAATTTTTAAAATCGGTCCAATAGTTTCGGAGCCAATTCGTTGCAAATTAACAAACTATCAAATATCTTTATATTATTAGTATAGATCCACCCTCCTCATTATAATTAACCCCTCCTTATAATATTAGTATAGATACGCGTTATAAAGTGTACTATAAAAGAAACTTCTTTCAATCTATTTCTACTAACTAAATGCAACTGACTTAATCGATGTCTGTCATTTACTTCAGGTTTGCCATGGAACTTATAAAGTTTTATTAGTAACCATAAAGATATTATATATTACTAGCTTTTCCCGCGACTTCGACCGCGTGGTAAAGTTACTTTGAGCAGCATTTCTAACGAATATTTATTTATTATATCGTGTTAAATACCTGAAATAAAGTTTCATCTCCTATTTTAACTCCTTAGTGATGGAATTTATCAAAATCCTTTCTTAGGTGATGCCTACGTCATAACATCTACCTGCATGCCAAATTTCAGCCCGATCCGTCCAGTGGTTTAGATCACTATGTCAGTCAGTAACCTTTGAGTTATATATATATATATATATATATATATATATATATATATATATATATATATATATATATATAGAAGATATATATCCAACTGTAACATTTGTGAAAAGGTTTTATAAGTTAGTTCTAAATGTACTTTTACGGACTTTCTGTGTGATGTGTGATTATGTGTACGCAGCGCGCGGAGACTGGTCGCCTGGAAGTGGTAGGGGGTGGAGGGGAGACGGCGCTTTCGCCGCTGCAGCCTGAGCTGCATCACGCGCCATTACTTCTACATCACGAGGTCAATATACACTCTCTTATATCTATATTATATCATCATCGATAAAATATAGATATAAGTGATGTCTTATATAAAATACATTAGGACTAGTCAATATACACAAATGGTTAGTATATATATTTATATTTAAAATTACATTTTGTGACTGCTGAATTGTCTACTGAATATTTCATTTTGAGCTCTATTTTTATCGCAATCATCGTTAATTAATTATGTAATCAACTTTATTAACTTACAATCTATCTGTATTATCAGTACACATGTGTGTGTTCGTGTTGAAATATTTCTATTTTATATTTATAAAAACAAAATATTAAAAGCACTTTTTAATTTGTCTAGTGTAATATTAAATATAATTAGTATTTTTTTTTATTGCTGAAGTTAAGCATAGAGTTTATTATGTATGTATATTCATAGGCACGGGGCGGACCGCTCGAGCTTATGGCGCCGCATCACGCTCGACACGCACTCTCACACCATCACGTAAGTCCTCATAATTCATAAACAGTATCGGTCCCAATATTGAACCCTGAGGGTATTGCATAATTTTCAAAGAAAATACATCGGTCTTCTTTTTTCGAGTATGTCCTTTTAAGGGCTTTCCACGTTTCTAGGCGCCAGGACGGTCTTTCCTGGGTTGTCTGTGTTCTTGTGGTCGTTCCACTACGTAGTAGGCGGTCTTCCTCTACTCTGCCATTCTTTTCTTCGATATCTCGCGACTGTGGCTTGGGCCTTCCCTATGAATCGAATCAAATCGAATAGAGAGAATGGGCCATGTCCCGAGCGATGTCCACTCGAGCTTAGTGCGGATTGGTGGGTATTAACTGCAGATGCAGTCGGGAGAAACGGCTTAAGGTGCCATCCGAAGCACGGGGGGTTCGGGAAAAGAAATTCTTGTTTTTGGTCACCCATCCCATGACCGGTCCATGCGAAAGTTGCTTTACAACCATATCGCCGACACTCAATAACCACTGAGTCTACGAGGTCCTCTAAAAAGTTTATTTTTCCTGTGGTCTCATTTGTTTGATGGTTATTCGTTGAGCAACGTTTTTTTTTCATTATATTGCTTGTGTAGCGTTATAATATTCAAAGTAGAGTAACGTTTTTGTTTTCATACGTGTGTAGCGTCGCAGTGGCGGCGGAGTGGGCGTGGGCGCGGGGGTGGGCATTACCGGGGGTGTGGGCGTAGGCGTGGTGGGGTCCGGGTCGCGGGCCGCCCGTCCATACGTTCGCCACGCGCCGCGCTGGCCTCATCACGCGATACACCATATACACGCACAGGTATGTATGTATACACATATGTACAGATGGATGACGTCTTGATTACAACCTAGATACAACATTGACGTCTGCCAATCCGACTAAGGATTGCAGTACGGATGATGTCTGTAAAAAAATAAGTTATATTTAGTCCGTTAGTCATCTCGTGCAAAGGATATTTTTACGTAGCAAATTTGTTTCTTAATATTCTCCAATAACTTATACCAGTGCTATTAATAAATAAGGTGCAGCATCAGAGTAAATTTGCGCTAAAATTCTAATTTTAGTATAAGTCCAATTTCATATTATACAGAGATTAATTAAACCGACTACCTTCTAAGTATTAATATTATATTTTTGATCATCATCATCATCAGCCCTTTATTTCGTCCCCACTGCAGGGGCTCAGGCCTTCCTTATGGATGGTTAAGGAGCATGGGCCATGACCCTCCACGCTAGCCCAATGCGGATTGGCGGGTATTAACGACTACAAATGCAGCCGGGACCAACGGCTTAACGTGCCTTCCGAAGTACGGAGTAGGTCGAGATAATATTTTTTTCGGTCACCCATCCCTTAACCGATCCCTGCGAAAGTTGAAAGACAACAATCGCGTGCCGCGGCGCTTATCCACTATGCCACCGAGCTACTTTCTACTACTCTACTACTACTGCTATTTTTTGATGATACAATGTTATACTTTAGGGTGGCGGAGGTTTAGTGGGCGCGGCGTTGCCTCAGCTGCATGTTGCGTCGCCGCTATCATTGCCGCCGCCGCCGCCCACTTACCAGGTACTATCTACCAGGCGTCGTCGTCAGCTCTTATTAATAGGCGGGTTGCCCCACTGCCGGGGCTCAAGCCTACCCTATGGGTGGAATCGAATCAGATCGAGGAGGGAGAATAGGCCATGTTCCACCACGCGGGCCCAGTATTGATGGGTGTTAACGACTGCAGAGGCACAGGACCAATGATTTAACTTGCCTTCCGAAGCACGGAGGATCTCGAGATGGTAAATTTTTGGTAACCCATCCTATAACCGGCTCTCGTGTAAGGTTAACAACTGTACCGCAGACCGAGCGCCTTAATCACTGCGCCATCGCATAAAAATAACACTTATACCAGTGTTATTTTTATTATATTTCGTTTTTAACACGTCTTGGATATGTGGTATGTATAGAAAAACTGATCAAGTTTGATTCCGATTTGGGCACGAAGGGTTTCGTATTATATAGCCTATGTCACTCGCATCATATGCGATTATACTATGATCTAGCTACCCGTAGGTGAAACAATTTTTTTCATCAGTATTTTCGAACTCTTCAGACTAAAAAAATTAACCATCTATATATATTTTGTAATAATAATTGTAATAGCTATATATAACTTTTAATACTAAATTAACGACTCAGGTATTCCTGAACCTGCTGGCCATGTTTCCCGTGTCGCCATACGCGGAGGCGCGTGAAGAGGCCGGCGAGTCACCCGAGACGGAGAACTACGAGGCGTTGCTGTCGCTGGCGGAACGCCTCGGCGAGGCGAAACCGCGCGGCCTTGCGAGGCATCACATCGACCAGCTGCCCAGCTACAAGTACTCGCCGCAAACGCATCAAGGTCAGTGTTTGTTTTGATAACGCAGGGGAAGTGCACCTTAAGCACCTTAAGCCCCAAATCAGCGGTGTGTCCGCTTAACTCTTTAGTCTTGATTCTAACCATAGGATCAGGGTTTGCAAAATCTGACATTTATAATAAATATTAAAATATTTGATATTTATCTGATATACGATACTATTTTTATATTACTATCAAGAATTTAAGAGCTAATGAAATTGAATAAGGCCTATTTATGAAATGATTGTAATTTAAATTTCGTATTTATAAACACTACGTTATTAACATTGGGTTATATCCCAAATTATCGCTTAATTTTTGGGCGTAATTTGTAACCGTATTGTCTCGTTGTATCGGTCGCCGAATCGGACTTTTGTGACTAATAATCTGCAATAAAAAAACTGTAATAAAAAATAAAAGACGGAAAATATCATATTGATCGCTAGCAATAACACAAAAAAGTAATTTGCGCAGATTTAAAAAGTTAGAATCAATTAATATTTACTACTCGTTTGAATTAACATGACACCTGACGGCCTGTTCTATTATGAAAACAATTTTTCATCAATTTTTTTCATCAAAGAAGGAAGGACTTGACACTGCCTTTGATATGCTGAAAACCTCACGGATCACGGATTTGATTTTACAAAATTATAAGAACGATTTGAATTTTCCCGAATTTTCGTTCGAGGATAAATAAAATGATGTGTCATGTTAATTCGTACGAGTAGCACAATAATGGTCTAGCTTTGACGCGAGTTTGCCGGGATTAACAATGAGCTAATGGTCAGAGGTCCTTTACTACAGCTAGTAGTTACCTATTGCGAGTGTTGCGCTCGTGAATGGTAATAGCACAGTTGTAATAATTTTTTAAACAATTGTGGTTAAAGCAATTTACAATTTTTTTTATGAATAATTTTCAGGAATATTTTACTTGTGATTCGTACGAATTAACATGATACCTGGAGGACCTATTCTATAAGTCCCGGATTGAAAATCTTAAAAATTTCGAATCATTATTACAATTTTGTTAAAATCATGAAATGAGATAGGGGATCTGATTTCATCATAAATTATCGAAAAAAATGTTTCTTTTGTGTTGTATTAGCACTTTGAAAATAGATAAAAAATATTTGTCGAGGTGAACTAATTAACATGAATTAGTACGAGTAGTCTGAATAACAACTTCTGTGGTCACAGCCACAAAATAAAAACAAACTCTGGAGGAGAAATGCTATTTTAGACTTACTTTTGGGACACTATAATGACTAAAATTTTTTAGCAAGAGAATTGATAAGTGTTTTGTTTGCTTGCAGGCGAGCAGTCGTCGTGTGTAGTATGTATGTGCGAGTTCGAAGCACGTCAGACACTGCGAGTTTTGCCCTGTGCACACGAATTTCACGCCAAGTGTGTAGACAAGTGGCTCAGGGTGAGTATATCTAATCACCATCGTCATCATTATCCTATTAACGCTTCCACCGCTGGAGCATTCCTTCCCTGCAAATACAGCCGGAAACAACGGCCTAACGTGCTTTCCGAAGAACGGGGAAGCTCGAAATAAAATTTTTGTTGTCAAAGTTGTTTTACTTCAGCATCGAGTTTCGTCTGTGTATCACGTGACTTGAAATACGACCCATCATAGTGTGACGTAATATTGGCAGTAAAAATAAAATAAAAGTAAAATTTCTGCATCTATCGGATTAGTCATAAAGAACATCCTATTTATTATAATATAAAACAGATTCCTAGATAGTGCTATTCTTACGTTATTTATTATTTTAATTTAGCAGCAAGATCATTTTGATGGCACTGCTCTTATCTGATTGACATCTTTATTAACATACTTTATGCGTTTGTTTTGTGTACATGTTACGCTCAAAGAACGAAAATCACTCATTGAGTGAAAAAATTGTTCACAACGCGTTGTGCTCACAGTAAAAATATCCACATAGCGAAAATCGTGTTATGGCTCTTATGGAAACGCTCACGACGCGTTGTGGCATTTAAAGAATAATTACATAGCGAAATCAGTGATATGGCTGTTATGCTATTTGACCACAACGCGTTGTGGCAATGAAAACCATGAACTGTTATGAACCATATTTGATTAGGTTAGGTTTTAGTATGACAAACAACGCACGATCCGAGCGAGCGAATCACTATTGTGTAATGAAACCACTAGTTACACCAATTAATGCTCAGAACGCGCCGTGGCTCTTCTTCATTGCCACAACGCATTAGGCCGATTGTCCATGTGCGGGATGCGGTGGATTTTTTTTGGTCGTTTCCATTGGCCGGTCGTTAGATTATCGATTATTCGATATTATAGTATTCGATGTGGCGTAAGAAAGCCACAGAGAGACGCTCCTTGATGTGGACTCTCATCATCACCAGGTATTAACGACTGCAAATGCAGCCGGGACAGACGGCTTAAAGTGCCTTCCGAAGCACGGAGTAGCTCGAGATAATAATTTTTTGGTCACCCATCCCGTGACCGACCCTAGCGAAAGTTGCTTAACGACTGCGATCGCGCGCCGCCGCGGCGCTTATCCAGTACGCCACCAAGCTTCTCTATAGTCTAATAAATAAATGATCTCGCATCGTGTATGTGGAAAATGAATACTTGAGATTATGATTCTGCGATTGCTAGAACGCGTTTTGAACATTTTTTTGCTCAATGAGCGATTTCGACGTCACGACGACGTCATGAGCGCTGACAGCGTGTTCATATTTCTGAAATATTTGTTTTGTAGTTTAAAATTATTTTTCAAACAGTAGAATAGTCTATTATGGTACACAGCAAAATATTTATTATTTTTTTGTTTCAATTTCGCAGTCAAATCGAACGTGTCCCATATGTCGCGGCAACGCGTCCGAATACTTCAACAACTCAGAGTGACTCGCGGCGACTACGACGCGCGACAAAGCGACGCACGATCGATTCGTAGCACGTTGCGACACGCAAAATCCGTCGCATATCAAAAGTGTGTCGAGTTACAGAAGAGTGAATTACGAATTAGACTTATATCGTGTGTGATCATTGAAGTCTTCACGATAATACGCTTTTGAAATGATAAAAAAACTACTTGAAATGAAAAGAATGCCAATGGCTACAATATATAATAGAGCAAGACCTCAATGCGACAGGCGATGGTGTTATCTTTATCAGCTATACGGAATACGTCTGAGATGCTAGATGTCGCCGAACGTCCGAGACTCGGCGATGTGATTATGAACTCTACCCCTATAGCCTTAAAGTTTGAATATCCCTGTCGTGCAACTGTAAGATACCTAACCGAACAAAGCCTGGTACTCAACAATGGACTCTATTACGAATGTGTTAAAGGTTTAGTTTTTTTAGTGTCAGGACGCTGAACAGTGCGAACGCCAAAATATATCATAAAAATTGTATCTTTCTAACTACAAATCGCTTTAGTGTGTGATCTTTCTGTGCGTTAAACGTACGCGCAGACGATTGTTTTATATATATGTATAATTATTATAACAATTGAATATAAATATTATATATATAGTTTTGTAACCGAGTTACCGTGTGCCGAGACTCAAGGTAAGTGGATTTTGTATATAAAGCTCCTACCTTACCTTTTTTATTGATCTTTTAATTAAAAAAAAAGGCAATAAATTAGCAATAAATATCTATACATTTTTAATGGCATAATGAGCATGATTAGAATTAATTAAAAAAGAAACGAAAACATAATTATAATTTTGTTGCAAAATATTTTATACACTCAAAGCAGCATGTCTGATTACTACGAAAATGTCAAATTTATACAATCGATTTTGAAACTTTATTTTCAACGTGTTAAGGTTTATAATCAATTGCAGAAATTTGTCTGTTTTAGGATAACCTGATGTGCTGTCGATAACAATGATAAATACGTATTTTATTTATTATTGATAATCCTAATAATTGCTTTATTTGACTTCCTGAAATTTCGTTGTCAGTAAGGTGGGAGTGTATATATGATTAGGGTGTATTTACATTAGTCGTGTGTAAGCATAGTGACGTCACGGCCTTAGTCCTCGCGTGTAAAACTAGCTTAGACGTACGTAATAATTTAGTTGAGTATTTTAGTCGGGCCCCGTTAGTTGACCGATTGATGACGCGTAGCGGGCAAGCGTTTTATATAAAAAAAACGCTTTGTGCAATTCAGTCATGTGTTAATTATTATTATTCTTTTAATGAAATGCGATTTATTGCTTTATGTATGTTTTAAACAGTTTGTGAATAACAAAATTAGTTAGTTTCTTTATTGTTAACGATTATGTGTTAAAAAGGCGTAATTATTATTTGGTGATTTTTTGTTTATTACCAGTTTTATTTTTAATCTATATGAATTAGCGTTGTAGTAATTATCGATATTTACGCTATCAGTTATATTGTCGATGATTGATTGGTATTGGTACGACTAAAACACCAACACAACTTACCAGTTGCGTACCCAGTTCCCAGTTCACATGTTAAATAAACTTATTTAAATAAATAATATTTCCATGTCACTAGTAACCGGAAACTATTAAACGCTTCTTATGGTCGTGAATACCTACTAATTTAAGTCGTACCGTCACGTTTAGGTGTAAGTTAGGAACCGCTTTAGATGTCACCGTGATTGTATGGAGAGAAAACGAGACGTTCGTAGACTTAGAATACTGTTACACTGGCTAAAGACGGTACTGTAGTTTTTTTTCATCTATATTGTTGTTACAATATTAGCGTTTCTAATAAATTAGGTGACTGATTTTGTACATACAACAGAATTTCTGTTTACAACAAATTGATCGTACAGTCAGTTGTCAAATGTTTGGACGAAGTAACGTGAAGTATTGATTATATTCAGCCAAAAGTCGAACATTGAAAAAGCTAGAGTTTTAAAGTAAAACGTGCGCATGAATTTGATTATCTTAGCTGTTTCAATATTTCTGATAACTTTAGTTGTATTTAATTACATATTTGTTACGTCAAATATCAGAGAAACAAATTTTATTAATCGATGTCGATAGATTGGTCTATATCGATAACTACCACAACACTTGATTGTTAAAATGCAAGTTATTATTAATATAATAAGACGTATTATCTTGCCCGTGCGCGTCGTCCGTCTGTCTGTCTGTTTGTTCGTGAATGCGTTTTGTTTAATGTTTGTTGTGATCTAAATGCATTCTCACCGCTGTCCGTTGTTGGACATAGGTACGTAGTGCATGCGTTCGATTCTGTATTCGGTACGTGGGTAGGTGTGTGGTAGGGCGATACTCTACAGCTGAAATAATATTAACTTAATTTTTAAATACCAAAAAGTTATTGATGGGTACTGTAATTTATACTACTTTTTGAATTAAACTCGCCTTACACAATAAAAGAATTTTGTATCAGAAAATTGCTAAAAAAGTTCTTAGAAGTTCAATAGAGAGAGAATGGTATTATGTAGAATGTGCTATCTATTCACATTGATAAAAATAAAAGCATTATTTAGAATCATAAAAATGTTGGTATGGTTTAAAAAAATATAAACACATTGAAACATTAAGTAATTAATTGTACATTTTTGTTTATACTATTATCTTAGATTTCGTGTTGCCTATTGAATCGAGTAATTTTTGTGAAATATAAAATCTTATGTTGCTATATAGCAGTGTGTAACTAAATATTCCTATTTTTTCTTTGAAACTAGAATTCTACTAGCTTGTCAGATTCAAATAAAAGATGTGAAGTTTGAAAGGTTCTTTTATAAAAAAACTAATTCTCTTACTATTTTCAATGTCACATAATAAATATTATTTTCTTCAGCCATACTCTGATGTGGACATTTCCATGGGTACTTTGGTATGTAAAAAATCTTAAAGAGATTAAACTTTGCGAGGCAGCCTCGTCAGCTCTCTCGTTTTGTGAATACTTGGCATTAGATGTCATTAATTCGAAACCAGTCCAATATTTTTAGTTTATTTATTACGAACAATATAGTCACTGATCCCATGTGCTTTTAATTGATACAAAAAATATAACGTAATGAAACGTAAATAGAAAACTAATGTCTCCTTGAAAAATAAACATTCTAGGTTAGATATGTCGTTATACACCCCGCCCTACCTCGCCACGTTAGTGTTGTGGTCTGCTTGTGCAATAATCGCCCGTACTCCGTCGTGTTAAGGTCGACATTCGTCCGGCGCATTCTCTGAACGAAGGCAATACTGTTACGCGAGGTTGTGTGTGTGTGCGCGCGCGCTTGTGAGCTTGTGTGTGTGTGCTTCGGTTATAAATAGCGTGGATATTGAATGTGCTAGAATAACGGGAATATAAAGGGATTTATGATTTTTTTAATCTGTTATGAATCTTGAAATATAAATAAAAGAGATAATTATTTTACTTACTGTAAAGAATCGTTTTCTTAAGTTCATTGTGATTTTGTTGCTCGTATATAAAATTAAATATATCATATCTGTTTTCGTCTAAATGGACAGAATAAGGATAGATAGCGGACATTCAAATCAAAAATCGAACGCTTATCTCAATATCAATTATATGATGCTCCGTCTCATTTTTATTTAGTAGGATTGGAAGAGATGAACTGTTACAATTAGATGCAGTGCAACAGAATCGTACTAATCGAAAGTTTAATGCATTTCCATTTATATTTAGTTTTTTTGTGTTTCGCGTTTGCAATATGCTTGTGGGATTGTCTCCAAGTAAGAGTGCATTCATTTGCAAAAGTCCAATTTATATCAAGACAAAGGTTACTGAATTATATTTCTCCCATTTATTATAGGTATATTATAAGTATATTTTAGCATACATAATTTTTTTTACTAAAAAATTTAATTAAAAAATATTGTTCATATAAGGGACACCTTAATATTTATGGGCCACGTCATAATATTTAATTTTAATTAAGAAATATAGAAATTAATGTCCGAAGAAAATGTATAAAATAATATATAGACTATTCTTCTTTCATAATTACGCTTATTCAATGCTGAGGGACGTGACTACCCCATCTTGGATATGAGCTTTCTATGTTAAAATTTTCAAGCTTCGGTCAAATGAAAAGGATAGAGAAAACTAGTTTTTACGTTTTTGAATAAAAGATTTAAGTCTTTCTATTTGTGGAAACCTATAATTGGCTTAATGTTTTTTATGCTGAAATCTATCATGTTTGTTTAGCTGTTGGTTTTCCAAGAATAATAAATAAATAAATAAAAATAAATAAATAATTGACATTAGTATAAATGCATTAAAAAATTTACTGACAATGGCGTAATACTTTGTTCTCTTTAAATGGACTTTTGCAAATGACTAAACATATAGGTGATTGAAAACCGAGTCTATCGCATCTTCATATTATCTATTATCTTCCTTGTTTCTTTGGTGGAAATAGTGTACATACTAAACACGCATTCCCATTATCCTTACAATGTTTTCATGTTAACATTGTTTATAAAAGGTTTGGACCTCGTCATAATACTAATGAACAACTACTTATATAGTATTAAAGTTATTTCAAATTTTCATTAAAAAAGTAACAGGGAGTTCATATCCTTTTTGTTTGCCACTATAATTTGATAATATTTCTAGGTACAGTCGGAAACAATAATAACATGTCAATTTTTCATAATTTAATTCTGATTTGTTTTCATTTATCGATTAGTTTTAGATAATAATTATGCAATTCGTCGACAGCGATGTTACTTGTTGTTTATTAATGCAATTTTCTTATATATATGTGTAATGTTAATCTTAAATACGTGTACTATATTTTAATTTTTCCACTACCCAGTGCTTTTTTTTGTTGCAAAGAAATTTAATTCCAAATATTGTAACAACTAGTATATACCGTATAACCATTTAAAATAGTGCCAGTATCAAATTTATAGTGTTGAAGATTGAAACTTGAGACGATGCCTTGCTTCGTTACTTAGATATTTTTGTATAAAATGCGTTCCAATACGTGCATTCACACACTGCTAACGCACCGCAGCGCGCACGCTTCAGATTGACCATCTTAGAGTGAGAGGTGATCAGTAAAGTGAAATAGATAATGCTGAAGCGCGC